ATATCAGGTTATTTTTGTGCCCTGAATACACAAATGCAAATGCAAAGTTTCTCATTTAGAAGAAACCTACAGAACTTCTTTATTTCTTTATTGTACTGGGTGTGGGGAGTACAAGGGGGAAGACTGCCAGGAATCATAGAATCATGTAACGGTTAGGGTTGGAAAGGACCTTAAGATCATCTAGTTCCAACTTCTGCTGCAGAAATGCAATACATTTCTGTGCCTTAAATCAATTCACTATCACAATTTCAATAGGAAGTACAAAAAAAAAAAAAAAGGAAGTTAAAATACAGAAGAGAGTTTGCCATGTCACTAATGTCACTAGAGCCTTATAATAATTTGTTCCCCCAAGTGAATGTGCTTTTAAAGCCTTTGTTATGTGGTATAATACAGTATGGTACATGTCTCAGCTGTTAAGTCTTCATAACAGTTTCATAAGGCTGTACTCATGAATCACCATTTTGTTCACAAACATTTGCCACTGTGACAGATACTTCCAGAACCTTTGAGGAGAAAAGGACACTCCCCGCCTATTCTTGACTAAATCCCATAAGGAAACAAAGAACAAACTGTCAAGAAAACATAATGGATTTAATAGGAAATACATACTATAACATGAGTAAAAGTGAGGCAAGATAGTAGCAGTGAAATCCATCTAGGTGTCAGAGTTACAGCATAACCAAGTGCAACAACTGGATGGAGTATCACACACAGATGAAGAGCATGAAAGTGGTCTGTAACCTTCAACATTTGAAAAAGAAGTAGCAGTTGGTTTGTTCAATAATACATGTGAAAACATTAACAGAAATTAAGCAAAGAAAAACCCAACCTTCTTAAAAGAAGAATACCTTTACAAAGGTAATTAGCTCCTTGAATAAAATTCACTGTTAGTGTTTCAGTAAAAATTGTAGAACCCCAGCTTGCAGGACGAGGTAATGGCAACAGCAGAATTTTTCTTCTAAGAAATCTTTATTCTAGAATAAGAACACTTTCAGCAAACACTGTCCCAGTTTTTGGGGGAACAAACCATCCTACTGCCTTGATTTTTCCATGTAAAATAGGAAGCACCAAGTAACTCTAAGCCACTAGAACTTTTCTAAGTATTTCTAAGTAGCTGTTTATAGCATGTACACTCCAACACATAATGTTCAAAATTCAGACTTGGGAGGGATGGGGGGAAATAGGAAGGAGGAAAAAGCTGACCCTAGGATCATTTTGGCATGCCAAAGACTAACCCCATCAGTACTCTTGTGTTTCAGAATAGTCTTAAGTGCCTTGACAGATTTATTATCTGTGACACTTCATGGATAAAGTTTGGTAATGCTTGCTTGATTTTTTCAAGTCATGCATTTTGGATTCTAGCTGACCAGGAAAGGCTTTCCATTCAAACTTTTGAGACCTCCAAAATAACAGAAGGGATTTTTCAGAAACAAACATTGTTGTCTGAAGGCCTAGTAATTTTAGGGAAATGTGTTTTGGCACTAGTTTTCCTTAGAGAATTTTGTGTGGATATTTTAGATGCTTAATTCCAAGCACACAATTCTCTTGCTTCAAGTAACTGACTTGTGACTACAAACAGTCTCATGTCACTTTAAAATGACATCCTGCTAAAAATGTTAAGAAAGTTTGTCCTTCTTTCGTCCATGAAGAGCCTCTCTTTTAGAGGTTTAAAGTGTTAAAGAGATACATGAAGCTTTTTAGAAAATGAATAAGCAGTGTAGAAGTTTAAGTCAGTGAATTATTCAAGTTCTCCTCACATTCAAGATGATTTTTTTCTACTTCCAGGTAGCTACTGCTGCGTATAAGTGAAGTTCACTACAGGGTGAATAGCTACACAGTTCAGACAGCTTCTCTCCTGTAATTCACCGATTCCCAAGATAGTCTTTGCAGATTGCTGACATAGCACACCATAAATAGACTACACCATCCTCAATAAACACTAAAGACTGTTCCACAAGTCATTCAGACATCACTGCTAAAGCTTCCTTTTCCAACTAACACTCAATATGTTGTGCTGGAACTTAACACTAATGTTGAAGAATGATTTAGGATTAACATTGTAAGAAAAATCTTATTGAGGCCAACTTTTAAGCCATTCAAGATATTCAGCCTAAACTGTTTTTTGATAATTAAAATGATGCTTTAACCACAAATGCAGGCACCTCTCAACCAGGTTAAAGGATATGACTTTCAAATCAGTAATAGGCATTACCTCCTCTCCTCTTACTCTCTTCCCAAGTATGTACATAATCTTTCTTGAGCAAGCTGGTAGCATTAAACTGGTATTACATGCACCAACACATCGAAGACCCAGGTCTGCATAGAACACTCTAAACTCTCAGCTGTCTGATCCTGTAGCACTTAAAGGAAAGGCCTCGCTGATGTCAGTAGGGATTTGAAGTGCAATGATTTGTTTCAACATGGATCTAGTAACAAATTTTTACCTTCTTGGCAACAGCTGAAGTTGTTAGAATTGGTTTAGAACTTCTCAAAGCACCTACAACGTTTTTCAGTAGTTTAACCACTAGATGCTTCTGTACTAAACATAAGCTTCCAGATTTCAGCTACCTAGGCATTTAGAATGCCAGTTTCAGCATGTATATAAAATACACCACAAAACTACCAACAGCACAGATTAGGAGCCTGGCAAGTCAGCTCAGACACTTATAATTTAGAGGGTTGGATGAAGACACCCTCCAAGACTTGGGGAGCATATTTAAGTTGCTCCAAAGCTTAAGAACTAAGTATTTATCAAATGGTACTTTTGTACAAATCTATAACTTTCATGGGAAGGAATTTCTGTGTTTAAAAGCTGAAATAGTCATACTTTGTCAGTTAAAAAAATGCTCTGTATCAATGATACGACATGCACTTCATTACATTTTTACATACATGATACCTCACCCTTCCAAACTTGTTTTGCAGCAGTTAATTCCCTTTAAGAGTATCTGTAAGTCTAGTCTCTATGATAAGCTTCATTCACTAAACAGAAAGGCATAGTGGAAGAAAACATCAGTCCTGAGCTTTTTCAATAACTTCTTAACAGAAAAAAGTTATTAAAAATTTAGCTGGAATGATTAATAATCAGCACTCCAAACACTCAAAGGCTAATGTACCTCCAAATAGAGAAGTTATGTTAGGACAAAATACAATCAATTTCAGCATGCCTAGTGCCAGATGAAAGCAGATGGCCTAACAAATTATTAATACAGAAGTAACCATTTTTCTCCAACAGAAATGAAACAATGAACATGTGCATCTCATCCAGGGAAGACTGCATTCCAGGCTTCAGCTAGGGCCAACTGATCAATAAACAGTTATCTTGGCTCAAGAGAACTTACATCAACAGTCTGTCTTTTGAAATAGGCATGTGTTAGGCAGCCTCACTTCCATGCTTGTAGTTTGGACAATCTGAAACATTGGCTATTTCTGTGTTTTCAGTAACTGCAGTAATGCAAGATCAGAACTGCAAAAAGGACATGAAGTATGCTGGCATTCCACTCAGACTGGTAACAAGACAAAAGGAGTCGGAGGCAGTAAGACTTAGCTACTTTTGAGAAGAGACAGATTGTTGTTCTGAGGGGGAGTAGGGTTCTCTGTTTTTCAAAGTCTAATTTTGGTGTATAGCAAACAGTATAAATGAGAAAGCAGTTGATAAGGATTTTCTGAGATATATGGATCTCTCCTCTGACTGGAGAACTACAATAACCTCAGTACTAGCCTAGCTCTCAGTCTTCCTAGAGTCCGGTATTTTGCTTTCAAGTTAATAAATCTTGGATGGATACTGTTAAGCCATTTTTGTTATCTTACTGAAAAACAGATTTAAACTCCATTTCTACCACATGCTAACAGGCTATAAGAATTTATAAAATCTGAAATTCCTTTTTCTACTAATCTACAAGAAAGATATTCCCAGTAACTGAGACTTTCCTTCTACTACTACCATCTTTCCAAGTTCAAGAATTTCCAGATTCATTACTAACAAGCTTTAATATAAGCAGAAATTTCTGTATCATAGTTAAGATACTGAAGCACCTGGTATCTTGCTATAGAATAGACTTCTGAAGCACTGTGAACACAAAATGTTTTTAAAACCTTGTTGAATTAGATAACCACACAATTTTTCTTTTTAAATTTGCCAAGAGTAAGAATTTAGACATTGCAAAGAAATCAGGGATTTCCATGACTGCAACTGTGAAAATGCTACATTTAATTACTAACCAGCCTTTTTATAATTAAAAATATGCCCAAAAGCAAGCTTACTCAGTTCTTTATTTCCATCAAGCATTTTGTAGGAGTATTGAAGTTTTCTGTTAATAATTTACTTGCTTTGAGTGATAGGAAAAAAAATATACATCAGGCTAAACGCCAAATGCTAAACCTTTCTCTACTATGAGATGCTTTGTTAAGGATCAATGTTTAAAAGAAGCTTCAAACAGCCTTCATTTGATGAAGATCTACTTCTTGGGCTCTGTATAAGCATGTAGCCTGTACAACTGTGGCAAAGAAGGCACAATGACATTGCCAGGTAGGTAGAAGGCATGATAAAAATGTAGTCACCAAGTTTCACTAAAACATGCTGACTCATTCAAAATCTCACTGTAATAGTTCACCTGTTAAGCTATTCTGGAGCAAACCAAGAATTTTCACAAATACAAACTAATCTGAAGTACAAGTCCTTTCATTTCTTACCAACTTTTCTCTATTTCCTTCAGAGAAATTACTTGAGATGATAGAAAACCAGATTACAAATAAAGAATAAGCATCATCAACATGACCTCATTTTGATACTAAAGCTAAACAGTGTATTTTAGTATATACTCAAGTCTATTAAGCTCTTTTTCTTCACGAGTATAAAGTTTCTCACTAGTTCTGGTAGGAAACAAAAAGTAAAAATAAATAAAATAGCACAAAGGGGTATGGTCAACCTACAGTTTAATTGAAACTAATACCAATACTAAAACCAATACAGAATAAACTAAACACTGACCTGCTAAAAACCCTCACAGATGAAAAAGCCTAGGAACCAAAAGGTAATGATCTACATTACCATGTCTTAAGGTTACTTCCTGTTTATGTTTTTGTGCCCAAAACAAGAAAGACTGGGTGCACCACAGATGAAAACTTCAACAGTCCTCATGCTACACCAACACCATTCCCTATTGGCCCTTCCAAATGTGATTGAAAGAGAAAGAATTTTAGTCTGCCTCTAGATGAGCTCACAGTGGCAATACCTAAAACGCAGGAAAAACCACCTGATGGAGATATCCCAGGAGTTTATCCATAGGTATGGAATGGAAGGAGTGTATAAGATTGCATTATTTTTTTTTTTTTTACTTTTTTTTTTCTCTTACATAATTTATAATACTTTAAACACTGGTCTCATAAATATAATATGAACACTTTACACATGCCAAGCAATTAAAAGCTTTCCCCAAGAACTTTTAGGTCTTACCTGAACCACTGACAGCATCTGTTTACAGCATCTGGCTTTAGTCAGTAACCACTTAATTTAGTCAGAACTACAACTAGGTTTCCTTCAACCAACATCTTAATATTAAAAAACTTGTAGGAACAAAAAGATGCCTACAAAGGTATCAGTTTGCCTTAAAGTGATTAAAGTCAGCATGAAAAAAAAGATTGTCTGTGGTTTAATAGCTGTTGCTTGTGTCCCCACCCCTGGCGCATATCATCTTTAAATAAAAAGTGCAAATGGGATTTGGGGACTGGATGGACTGATTTGCCTATTGTTTGTCTTCAGTTGCTTATTCTGTAGCCACCTCACATCAACTGTCCTATCATACTTTGGATTAGCTACAATTTAGCTACTTAGCTAAAATAAGGCTCACTGAAGAAAAGGAAGAAGTGACACCTAACTTCCAGACGCCTCCCACCCTTAAGTCCCACAAAAGTGCTCATTTCCCTTTTTACAAAAACACAAAACCACCCTAAAATCTTGATTACAAAACTATTAAACATTTCAGTACTACCATCGATATAGTCACCTTCCTGTCAAGCAAGGCCAAAAAAGTGATGATGGATTCCCTTTGAATGCAAGAGATACTACACTTTTTGTAAGTAAACAGGCTGACATTACGATTGCAGTCTCTTCTGCGAGTGTACAGATGTCAGATGAACTGGTCCATTTTTGTGGGACCTTGTGTGTATTAACACCAGCAGATAAAGATCTAAGACTGATAATATAAACCCAACGTGAACTATTAACTTCCAAGACCACCTACTGTATAGACAAGTTTGATTTTCTAAGGGATCAGTCAACAGCAGCTGCGCTTTGTCACCGATGGCTGTCTTCTAAGTTTGAAGCCCTTACCACTAGATGGGGGGTTGGTGTCAGTTGATGGAATTCTGCGACCTACAAGGAGGCAGAAAAAAAAAGTTATAGCAAACATTATACTTGAAACTAATTCTAAGTATTCAGTCTATGTTTTGGATTAGTCATGCATCATTAGTGACAACATTCCTGCATAACAGGAGGACGGCAGTTAATAGTCTGTAAGAGGTATGGTTCCACAGAAGAGCAAAGGCAGTTTAAGCTAATTTTGCAGTGTTTACACTTCAGGCTAAGCCAGACTTGGAGAGCTAAGCCATAAAACCACCCAGAGAATATACTCTGTAGGATGCAATACCATCTGGAATATCTTCATTAAGAGCTACCATCTTGACCTGTATTTCCACCGTACATCACCTGCATTGGGTTTAGCACAGAAGTGCTCGTAAATGCAGCTGCTTTAGTCATCTAATCAGTCATTAAAATCGACTATTCCTGGTTAAGTATTCTTTTCTGAGGAGGATTTATGATACTTTTTCCATAATTTATTCAAGATCAATTTTAGAGAGCAGCTATTAAGTCAGTAAATCAGAAAGCTATTCTACAGCACATACTTTTTACATCAGCTTCAATATATTCAACTGCTTATAAGGACTATTCTTATACATTCGTGCTACTGCCTGAAACATCCTGCAAATAATCTTGAATGGAATTCAGTTTGGAACCTGCTTTGCATTCACACAAGAGAACTTATTGTCATTTGCTCCATGAAGGAATCGGAAAAGGTTTGCAATTTAAGTTTAAAAACCTCCCTCTGGGTATCACAGAAATACTTGTGGAAAATCTACACACAGTAGCTGCCATTTCCCATGCAGTAATGTAGCCTTTATGAATTCTTCCATCTTTGAAAACACACCATTTTAGACTAAGTACAAACACTTAGAGTGAGAACTTCATTACTCTTCTCAGCTGTATAAAGTCTGGATCATCTTCACACCATTTTCTTTCTCTTCTATAACCTCGGAAGTACTAATTGAAGCATTCAATAACAGATATAATAAGATGACACTGACTTGACATGAGTGCCTGCTGCTATTTATCCAGCAACGTCACAGTAGGCTTAAAAACTCTAAAAGGACTATTTAGAGGTCATTAGATGGCCAAAAATTTATACACATCATTCTGCAGTTTGTATTCATGCCCAACTGTCACAAATTCAAGCCAGTATACTCTCACCTGAATACCACAAGAAGTAATGAAATCTCTACTTGAACATCTTTCAGAAGAAAGCATATTAATTGTTTCAATACTTACTAATTTCTATAAAGAGTTCATTAATGTTTATTGCATTTTTTGCACTTGTCTCTACAAATATTGCATGAATGGAATCTGCATAGTCTTTAGCATCTTTTTCCATGACTTCTCTGCAAAAATAAAAGGAAAGAAAAAACTGTGAATGCAAAACCCCACCATTAGTCAAAAACCTTAAGGGATAGATTAAGCTTTTAACTGTCTCATTAATGAGTATTTTGTATTTTACCTGTTTGGCATCACAGCTCTCCCTCATCCTGAAGTTAATGCTCATTCTTTACTCTATGCTGTCTCCCTGCCTTGAGGTATGAGCATCACTGAAGCACAATCATAAACTAAACAATGCCTTAGTCCCTCTGACAGCATTACAGTGGAGTTTGTTTCTTGAGTGCTCTAAGTGTGGGTCTGCAATCAGTCATTACAGGGTGCTTTAATCTTGACACACACAGTTTTAGATGTACTGAAAAGCTCCTAAAGCATTAATTCCACTAATCCAGTGGATTTCCTACTGTTGTTTATAAAAGTAAGTATCTCACAACACTGCACAGATCATTCCTATAGCATTTACTTTACATGAAGCATGAAAATGTAGCTATAAACAGGAACATATTTAGACTGAGCACTGAGTCAAGAAGTGAAAAAGTTACTCTACACCCCTAAGTAGGCAAGTTGATAACGTTTCCTTAAATAACATGAAAAATCAAACCCCAATAAGTAGAGAGGATTGGACTATATGTTGTATCACTTTACATACAATTTCTAGAAAATATAGGCTACTTTCAGTAACAAGGGACTGCAGGATATCAAAAGCAGACTTGAGATCATTGACTCAAATACTGCCTCTGACTGAAGCTACATACTTTGTATTTGCCTTCTAATTAATTTTATGTCATCAATTCTTTCAAGAAACATGCTACTTCTAACAGAAGTTACCAGAGCTCACTAGATAACTCCTATATATTAACAATTTGTAGAATTATACTAAAAGCTAACTTTGCAGTGGTTCTTTAAACACATAACCATCTGTCTCCTTTGAGACAACAGCAGCGGTACCTTTTCCAATAAAATCTAAACCCAAGAAGTTTGCACACACCTTCTTTCTGTATTTGGCTTACTCAACCAGAACATCAGTGAAAAAGGACTTGTTTTTAGTACATGCCTTTTTTAAAGTCTGGCTGCTCATAAAGTTTCTACAGAACTTTTCCCGCTCCCTGCAACCATTTCAGCTACGAGCCAATTCCACCCCAGTATTTAAGCAGGGAAGGAAGGCACCTGAACAAGCAAGTTAGAAAAACCTACACAATGCTTCCAACAGGCTTGATGTTTTTCCTAACAAAATGAGGTGCTACAGACTGACAGGGGTACTTCTTATAAAGTGAGATAAACAGCTTGTATTACGCTGTACTTTCACAGGCAGTTTAGCCTTGTGTAACTTGGCACTGCCACTAGAAAAGGTAATCCTGTCTCGCTGTAAACTGCTCATTCCTGACCCTGCTATCCCACCTCTGTTATGCCAGCAAGTGTTCATGGTGTGAGAAACATAAATATACTTGGATGAGTTTTCCTTTTTTAAAATGGTTAGTTTTAATCTGGATCCATTTTACAGCCTGATTTACTACCCCATCACACACGTACTCACACCAACGCAGGGGAGGAAGTGGGCAAGACTGACCAAGGCCAGACTAACCAAGTCTTCTGACAGCAGAAACAGCTCCGACCACTTCTGAAACTACAATGCTAGTGCAAAACAGCTTAAATTGCTCTATACCTTTTACCTGATCTGAAACGTTAAAATATTTAGCACTATGAGCTTAAGTGAAAATCTCCAAGTTAGCAAGTTATTTACCTTACATCATTAAGATCACACTTATTTCCTGCAATAGCTACAACAATGTTTGGAGGTCCATGCTGTCGAAGCTCTTTAACCCAGTTCTTTAATGTTGAGAAAGTTTCCTGATGTGTGGGAAGAAAAAAAAAAAATAAATAAGAAGAAATTAAAGACTCTGAACTGGCCCATGACACCCCCACCCCACCCCGAAATAGTACTGCTGGGAAAATATCCATTTCTTACCTCCTTTGTGATGTCATACACTATAATGGCTGCTGCTGACCCTCTGTAATACATTGGGGCTAAAGCACGAAACTGGAAGAAAGATACCAGACATTATGAATCTGATCTTCTACTGACCTCCATGATCTCATTATTAGTATATTATGAAGAAGTGAAAACTAGCTTTAAAGTCCACATTAGTGGAAGACTTTTCTTTACAATTACAGAGATGCTGTACAATAATAAACATAACTTCCATTCAAGTATTGTTTTACAAAGGCCAACCAATACATAGTTTAGGGATCAGCAGCACACCTACTGCAAAAAGCAGGAAGCCAAACTCGACCTTACTTCGACTAGATTAGAATCTCTCATTTAAAAGACTGTAGATTATATGCACAGACGGGATATATGCTCAACTTTAAACACCAAGAGAGAGGAAAATAGTCAAAATGGAACTAGCTTCTTTCTCCAAGACATTAATGCTTTTGGACAAGTTATAGTACTGCTGCTTTGAAATGTTCAGAAGTTGGCGTCACTCTCTAGTCCCATGGATCAGTCATGGCACTTTTCAACACTAGAAATGTTGGTTTCCTTGTAATCTAACTTACAGCTTCAGGGCTTTTGCTTCAGGGCTTTCCCCCCTCCCTCCCCTCCTCAAAAGTTAGAAGCATGTTTAAAACTGAAAACTGCAAAAGCCCACAACTATGAGACTTGTTGCAAACAGAGCTTTAAGGAACACACTAGATAGTAAAAGGCTACAGTAATTCTTTTGTAATTTTCAAAATTAAATCTACAACAGATATATTTGGCTGGTAGTACATTTGCAGTATATAAACCAGTCCTGTACCTTTGCATGGGCAGAGTGTTATGCATTCAGGACTGAAGAAAGTACTAAAGCATATGATTAAGTTGCACCAAAAATCAAGCATTCTTTAAAAGTGTGATATTCTGCCAATTTAAAAAGAAACAGACAACTAATCTAGCAACCAAAACTCTCAGTCAAATCACAGAGTAAATAGCATGTACTATTTTTGCAAGCATATGTGATTTAGTGCTTTTGTGCATCTTATTACTCAGGGCAAGAATCATGACCAGAACACAGTTTTTCATGAAAGCTTATTTGGTTCTAATAAAATACCAATTTCCTTTTGCTTAGTACAGTTCAACAGAGAGCAATACTACAAATCATAAAAATCTTGCTATAAAGCAGAATTCTAGAGCATTTACATTTGGCTCTCAAATTCTGTTTTGAAAACAGGATTTTGAACACGAAGTTCAGAATACAAAAATATTTAATAGTGGGAAAGGGAGACACAGGCAGGGATTCAGTTCATGTTGGGACATAATCTCTCTCTTCCTCCTGAGCACTAAAATGTAAAGAGAAGCATATCTGGTAAACCACCACTTGGACTGGTTGCAACCTGGCTTTTTGATTATTTGACTATTTACATTGGGAATAAACCAACTTTCACTTGCTGATTTTGTATTACTCTCATTTCCTGCCTGCTAACACTTAGATACTTTTTTCCACTTAAGAGCAGCCAGCAGATAAAATACATTAACAAAACAGATGTTACCAGAAACGCTGAATTTTCCTTTTGCTATTTTTCAAAAATCTTCAGCTTACCCTCCAGCCTCCAATTAGTGTTTTGACAGAATTATTAAGACATAATTATCCAGAGAAACTCAAAATCATTAGGTAAGAAGGCAAAAACCCTATTGCTGTAAGTAATCTGCTACAAGTAATCGCCTATCAACTATACACTGGGTAGAAGAAATGAGAGAAGAAATAAGGCTGGGCAATGAGCTGTCTGAAGTAAGTTAGTGTACATTTCCTCTTCTGGAGTGAAGCAGGCCCTCCACTCCCTGAAGTCATTTAGAACATGGGATTACCCATAGCATAGAATTATTCACTCCTGGGCTTTTGAAGTGGAAAAGAGCAAATGCTTCTCAAGAAGCCAGGACTACAAATTCTGTGCATTAAGTATCATAGCTCAGCAAAAGACATTTTAGTTCCAAGAATGGTGTGGATATTTACGGTATTCCAGATATCATAGAGGAAATCCCTTCCATAATTCATTGTCAAATTTAACTCTGCTACAGATTTCAGTGCAAGGCAGGTACACAGACCACTTGTGACTAGCAGCAAGTGATAGCGCTGCTCTGTTTTGAAAAAAGAAGTATCTATGAAGATACTGGCATCATTTCAAAGTAAATGTTCTTGCTCCCACTTCACTGATTTCATTGGCTATATTGTAGCCTCACAGTGACTTCTCAGGTATGGAACATAAGCATCACAGATACCGCAGCTCACATGTCAGAGACCAGGTAAGACATCTTTCCCTTTTTTTATTTCAAGAAAGATACTATGCAGCTTGTATGGAAGGAAATTAAAGAGGTATCATTCAAAATCTGAAAACAAATACAAAGAACATGACAGTCATGTGCAGAGATGCTTACTCTGATTATAGTGTGCTGAATCCAAATTACAATGTTCTCCTATGGCCTGCAAACACAGTTAAAGTGAACAGGATGGAATGCTAATATGTATTGGAAGTTTCTTACCAAGTTGTGGCAGGCATGTTCATAAAGCTTTCCATTTAGGAGTACCAGCCTCTCAGAAGTCATACTCTATCTCTCAGAAGACTCACATTCCAGCATTAACATTTCCAAATGGGCTAGGATGTTCACTTAAGACTATTCACAGAAATGCTGAGTGAGTGCTGGTAATGGAAGGACTTGGGTACTTCTAGTAACATGGATACTATTGGACATATCCCTGGGACACATGCCTGGCAACATAAATTTGCTTCATACAGTGCTGCTGGATGGAAATAAATTGTCATTCAAAAATCTAGGACACTGAAATGCAATACAAATATACTTGAGTTACTTTCTAGAGCCAAACCTGAAAAATAGCACAGCTGCATTTTCCAGTTATTACTGTAAAGTAATAACCCAACCTGATCAAACTGACTCTTATAGGGAACAGCTCTGGTGTTTCTCTTTGTTACAGTTCACTCTTATCCTAAATAAACTCATCATGAGTGACTGACAATTGCCAGTAGTCAACAGTCAAGAATCTGCAAGACAGCATTGTTAATACAGCTACTATAATTTCTACCACTGTTACTAGGAATCTATGAACAAGCAAGTTCACTAGTAAAGTCTTCCTTTTAAATTCTAAGTAAAAATCATGCAAATTAACTGATTTCATTTGACTAGTCATTTTCTTGAAAGCTTATGTTGCCTCCCCTCAGAACTACACATGCTGAAGAGATCAAAACACCAGACAGATTTCTTGACATAGCTTCTAACATTATCAGATTTGAGAAGTAAAACTTTATAAAATAATAGATCAGTTATCACCCATAACACTGCTTGAAATATTGCTTTTTAAAGCCTAAACCCATACTCTGCTCACATTAATAACCCAAACACTGAAGCTAACAATGTCTCAGCAGTTGTATATTTTCCCAGAATTGGGGCCTTACTCATAACTCTGAAACACAATTATACATTTCACTTTGATTCTCATGTTGCCAGATGCACTGGCTGCAAAATAACTCCAGCTGAATGTTTAAAACTCAACTAGAAAAGGTGCTAGAGACAGCTGCTGGCTCCCCTTCCACCTTGTTTTCTTCTGAAATGGCATTCTTAGTGAATCTAAACCTAGTCTTCTGTTTTCATAGGCTCCTCCTCTTAGGCAACCGCCCTTAACTTTGTCCTTTAACCATAACAACAATGAAAAATAAAAATATATTTACAGTGCCCATATCTTTGCAGGAAGCTGCCTAGAAACAAACATTCTAGGCCATGTTCATAAAACCAGATCACACTGTGACTTTCAAGGGCAGGGCTGAAAAGCAACCCAATCTCTAGCCAGTACTATCAGCACAGATACTGATTCTACTCACCCGCTCCTGTCCAGCTGTATCCCAAATTAGGAATTTATGCAGCTCATTTTGATACTGTACAGTCTTGGTCATAAATGAGGCTCTGGAAAAAAAAAATTACAGCTTAGGCTTTTCAGAATATAAACACACTCTTAGAACATTACCACCATGAACATTCAAAAAGGTCTGCATTCCAGTAAAAGTGCTTCCCACACACACACACAAAACTGATATACATTTTCATACATAAAGGCTGAAATTAATCAGGCAAAGGGCCTCAGAGGATGAAATTCTACTAAGAAAATAGAAGGAACACAAATACAAATTATGAGCTTTTATTGTTCATAAGCTTTTGATAAAAATGAAGGATGTATGACAAAAAAAAGAAAATCAGGAAGGTCAGCCTTTTTACCAGCACTCTTCCTAAATGGAGGAATCACCACAGCAAATCACTTAAGCATGTACCAGAAACTTCCAGAGGGAGAGATCAAATCTTTCCCCTTTGTATCAGCTTTTTCTATCTTTGTCCTAACATTCAGATAAACATTGGCAAGTCCATACTTGGGAAAAAGATACAGTATATTCATATCATTACTGGTAGGTGTTAAGAAGAGAGAAATTAGTAATGAGCAAGTTGCTTGCTTTCTGCACTCTGTACAGCTCCCAAAACCTGACTATTGTACGTGTCTGCAGAGGCTTATGCACTTCAGAAGACGAAACCCCTCCCTCTGCTTCTTCATATGCTCCAGCTGCCCCCCACCCAACTTCTAGCTGTTTTACAGTAACATATTGAAAAATATTGTAAAGAACTTTCGTGCTTTACTTGATCTGCTTTACATGAATCACTGTTTTCCACAAGAACAGGAATTCTGAGACCTAATCTTTTACAAGGGGGAGTTCTTTGCTCTATTACCCGTAGGCACATTTTTTACTATAGAAGACACACATTGAATTCAAATCCTCGTTGAGTAAGAACTACAGATGCCACGACTGTTTTAAGCACATGAGATCCTACATTATGATCCTGAATTTCTTTTGCATGCTTAATTCCTGTCACTTGACAATACTGCAGATTCCCAAACTTGTCATACTGTCAATTCTGGACAGAATGCAGGTGGTGGCCCGTGTTGGAGCTTCCTGGAGTACACTAAGCTTGTTGTAGATTCAGACAGCAGGAGTGTTTCAGCATGATCAACAACTTCAAATACCTGAGTCCAAGACTCCAAACTTCAGTTTATCTTGGATCTTAAGTACCAGCAGGGCACAGATTTTAATGAGATCCGTGACACTTCTGGAGTCTTTGGATGTTTCATTGATACAGGAGGAGAAAACAGCTATCTACATTTTTAAAAATAAAAGGGAGCAATTACACAATGCTTTCAGCTACTAAGAAGTAACCTTCTCTCCATTCCTCAAGCTCAGATGATTTGCCAAATAGTATCTCAATCTCCAAAGCTTATTACTTTTTTAAGAGGCCAAATAAAAGGTTGCAGCATCCCTAAAAAGAGCCTAACTGCAATACATTTTAACACAGTTAATTAGATTATGTATTTTAGCAGAGAGTAACAAGAAATAAAGTGATAGGAGTATCTGCTGTAAACCACAGACTTCCACTTCCTTAAGACTGCTACAAATTAAGCATCGATTCTGAATTCTCTAGCCCATATGTAAACAATTCCCTAAATCATAGATTCTCTCTGAAAACTTATCTTACTTGGTTCTATAAACCAAAACATTCCTGTACAGTCAATTTGAACTGAACAGCTGTGTTGCTCTAATTCACATCATAACTAAACATCCCAAATGGTAGCTGACAATAAAGGTTGAATGCTTTCTGAAATTCTTTGACAAACGGAAGCTTTCATTGTGACAGATGTCAATTAAAAAAAAAAATACACAAGAAAAACAGCTCAAAGACAAACCACTGTTGGGTCAACAAAACCCTCCAAATTAGAGCTATCCTTAATCACTTCTAGTAAGAAAACAGGCATTATCCTTACTAAATTTCCCAGCGGCTTCTACCAGCTAAGTAAGCACTATAACTACGTGAACAAGATGCACCTGAAGTAGTTTTATACTCATTCATAATTCCTTTCAATGCTATATTGATGGACTATATATTCTGCAGTGCCTGCAGATATATGCTGGTCAGGCAAAGCAGAATGTGTCCTCAGCATCCCGAGAAGACAAAAGTTGCAGAATTCTGACAGGATTTCTACAGCTGCCCATATTTGAACCTGAATGATGAGCATTCATGATAATGAATTGCGATTGCCCACATAATTCTAACAGGAATAGAAACGGGACAGGAAACAAGATTGAATCTCATGAACTCAAAACCACAGGAGTAAACATAGAAATGTTCTCAGCTTTAGTTTTAGGATTATCAAAACTCCTCTAATCCTTACTTTGGTCTTCCTATCTCCTAAAATAAAAACAAGGTCTAGAAAGTTTCAAAATTCTGGGATGGCATCCCTGCTATTTAGACAAGTTTTGGTTCATTTATACTACTACAGCAAACTACCAAGATATCAAATCCTTAGACCAATGAACAACTGCGTTAAGACAGCTAAAAGAGATTTTTCAATCTGCCACTTCAAGAAAGTATACTAATCCCATGAACCCATGAAGATAAATTCTCTTTTGCACAGTAGCCTTATTAGCACAATGGCTAGCATCTTCTAACAGCACCTTAAGTTACTACATAGTATCTGTTACAGACATTCCCCTGGGAAGACATGCGCCTGTGATCTCCCTTTGTTCCTGCCTCCAAGCATATAGGTGCTACACTGGAGGGGGGGGGGGTGGGGGAGGAAAAAAGAAATCAACCAACCCACCACACAGTCCAAAAACTACCAGATTGAAATAAACTGACTTTGGAGTGAAGACAGCAAGATTTGATGAAATTCATTCCAAAGCTACCTTTGAAAGGGAACTTTCAAGAAAAGCATACTTCCTACAGAGTACCTTGCAGTTCACTACCAGTATTTACATGCAAAAAAGAAAGGGGGGGGGAAAGGTGGGGGGCACAAGGAGGAATGGAGAGAGAGAGATCTTCAGAACCATATCTGGGTTTGGTTTTGGGTTGGGGATTTTTTTCAGAAGGACAGGATGAGACACAGCTGACTTAGCAGCAGCATCTTTCTTGGTCAAAGCAGTAGTTCAGCCTGTGCACCACCTGAGACAGGAAGTTGCACTGACATCCCCCCCACACACACTTCTTGGCATCAAGTGAAGTCATGTCCTCATGTAAAGTAAGGAATTGCTACCAAGAAAAGCAGCCCATAAGACACTTGCAAAGCAAAAAAGATGGCAAAGGAAATAAAAAGATCCAATCACTCCAAGAATTCCTGGTCCTCGGCCTTCCTTCTATGCATTAGAAGATTTGAGCTCAGTAATGTTGCTAGCGTGAGGCTCAACTTTTAAACATCCTTACCCGTGAGACCAACTGCATTAACAATTTTATCGCTTATGCCTGTGTATCACATATAGACATGTAAAATTACAACTAATTCATTAAGAGAACTACAGCCTGAATTAGTATGTTAACTACCTTCAAAACAGACTTGTCCTTGTACATAACTCTTAAAAAGAAACCTTAAAAAACAAAATCACGTAGTCATATAATAGACTTCAAAATTTCAGAGTAGTGCATGAGAAAAGCATATTGTTCCTTTAACAGAAGCATCATAACCCAGGATCTCTAGCAGGATTTTACTATCTTAGATTAAGAACACAAAATGGGTCCAGATCTTACACATGAAAATGGAGTAACCACATACACTTCTACATTTCCTAAGGTAGCTCATGAGCTAATGAAGGCTGCAGTCACGTTTTTTACCACATTTAGCTGCCACAGTGGAGAATCGAGTGATCTATTCAGGAGGTACAGACATCTATTCATACAATTTGCTTTTAGTCTTGAACAAATCACTTTTACTTAGTTTCTTACCCTATTGTTGGGTTGATGTTGGGATCAAAGCTATCTTCTACAAATCTCCACACAATACTCGACTTGCCCACACCAGTATCCTAAAAAAAGAACAGAAACAGTTGAAAAAGACATTAGTTACTATGACCAGATGTTTCTTTTTGTCCTCAAATCTTGCAGTACATGTACATGAATAATATGTTCCTGCAGAGAATCTCAGAGAAGTTAAATTCTGAAATACTTCAGGTATTAATTTGATAGAAATGAAAGGTCTCTGATAAGTTAGTTTTCTAAACAATATTGTTAAGATATTTTTATGAAGAACTAGAAAACCTGCATTCATGCTTATAATCATTTATTCAAACTTTTGTTTTTCCAAAGCTATGCACAAATTGCATTTGAACAAGAATAGGAAAAGAAACATCTACCACTCTTAGTAAAATAGACAGCAAGTGAGTATGGTATTCCATCTTTCGAAGCCAATGGAGTACATTAAATTATCTAAGAGTGACACACACACATTTCAACCTCTGACTAATGCTGTCCCACCCTGCTTAATGAAAGACTTGAAATTTCTTCTGTGACACACCTGAAACATGTTTCTAATGGAACTCCACCGAGCTATAAATGGCAAAAGAGGAACCACAACATGAAAATTCTGGGTCACATATGCATTTGCACCACTGACTCCCTGGTTAAAAGGCATATTTAGGAGTGAAAGAACTCAACAAACTACTAGCAGTAAGACTGTTCTCAATAGCAGCTGAACATTTTAAATGGTCATTTAATTAAGACAGGTGAAGACAAACATTTTGCATTTCGAGTCATTAAAATTTAAAGGAAAAAAAACTCTGAGAAACTGCTTCACTGAAAATGAAGTTTTAGACCATTCATGCATTTTCTTGAATGTTCTGAATGCTGTAGTAAATTTGGGCACAATATGCATGCTTGTGTTTATCTTTTCAAGCTATTTTCCTCTCACAGAAAAGCTTGTTATCTCAGAATATTGATGCAGTTCCTGGCTCCAGGAGTTCAATGACCAGTTTTCCTGGGTGCTTATTCTCCTCTTCTTACATGAGGAAAGGTTTCTCAGGTCAGGTGATTGCAAACAGTATCTAGTAGTTACCTCAAACGCCTTCATAACAAAAAGAGAACAGAAACACACATTTTTTCCCTCTGAAGTGCAATGTGGCGATTTAAAAGCAGAAAACAAGTCTGCCAGTCATAGTCTGTACAACACAGGATTTAGATACAGGTGGGGACAACTCCACCTATTCAACATGAGGCTCCCCAGTGAAGTACTCAGACCAGACCAAACCAAACCAACTACACAGCTTTATAGCCTTGACTTTTTTAGACCTCTACCTCAGTTTGTTTAATGTCTCCTTCTGCCACCACCTGAAACACTTCGGACACTTTCAAAGCATACATATGTTGTTTAAGAAAAAAAGAGTTCAGTTCCCTCCCCCCCGAGTTTGATTGCAGGTACTTTTATTTATGCGAGCTCCAAGCCCGAAACAGTTTAGGAAGAAGAGGGAAACACGCGCAAAGTGTCCCTACTTCCTCTCTTTTCTTTCATAAAGGGAAAGATCGAATAAAAGGAGCGATATTTACCCCTGGAGAACGCCAGCCCTGTGCAGGGGAAGGCCCTTCCGGACGCCCGCTCTCCTCAGCGGGACGCGGCCCCACAGCTCGGGCGCACCGGCAGCCCCAGCGGGAGCGAGGCCCACCCTTCGCCCAGAGAGAGGACCCCCCTCAGCGCCTCTCCAGGCTCACGCAGAGGCTCTCCCACTCCCAGAGAAAGCTTTCCAGGCCAGCTCCTCAGCAGACCCCCTGCCTGCCACCACTCCCAGAAAGCCGGCCGCGCAGCACTCACCCCCAGAAGGCAAACTTTCAGCTCCCTCAGAGCCATGGCCGGGCAGGCTGTGCCTTTAACGAGCACCGGAGACGCAGCCCAGAGCGATCATAGCCCTTGCCGGGGCGCTCGTACCGCCGAGGCCCACGGGGGCAGCCCTCCGCCTCCCTCACGCCGCGGTTACCAGCCAACCTTCCT